ATTGCAAATGTTCTTTATTTCAGATAAGTACATGTGTTATCATTATACCACCTGCAAATTCACATCATCGAATGTAAACAGCATTTTAATACACACTATAGACAATCGTGTTGGTCCACAGACATTTAGTTTTAGAAAGAAAGTTTTTGATGAAAACACTGCTCATTCTGACTATCGGTCCATACATTTCAGAGTTGAAGTAACAAAATTTAAAGTGATGTTAGAAAGATCAAAAGCCAAATATAACTTTAGAAGAACAAACTATATAATTCAAAAGATGTTCCTCTAATTACAAGCCAAATGATATTTTTTGAGATTCCTTTTAATGACATACCACAACCATTGTCTCTGTTGATTGGTCTTCCATTTTGTCTTGCAAGTAAAATAACAGAAAATGTTTTTAAAATGTTACGACCAAACTAGTGAAGGTGAGCGCCAGCAAAATAGATCTTTAATATAATCTTGTACGAATAACGTATTACATGGGGGAACCTTGTCAAATTTGAACAAACAGAAATGTTATTCATATATCAAGACAAATTTAGATTTTCATCTGCTTCCTATAGAACCATACACATGGGCTTGATTACCGGATATTCCTTAAAAAAATTATGTTTAATTAGTGGTTTTTTTTTCTTCAACTTTTCGTCGTATCGCTGTCAATTCTCTAAAACATATAAATAAACTAAAACTAAAAAAAACACACAAGACTAACAAAGGTCAGCGGCTCCTCACTTGGGAATCGAACAAGCTGAGATATATAAACACCATTAGATGGTGACAAAGGAACGTCACCATCTAAAAATGGATAATTAACAATAGGAAATGAAAAATCATCTCTTTTATCATAAATTTTGGTATTAAGCTTCCCGTTAAAGATATAGATATCAAGATCCAGGACAGGGCAGTGTTCATTCTTAGTATAAGCTTTATTTAAAGTCAGTTCAGCAGGATAAATCTCTTTAATGTACATACTGAAGTCGTCATTATTGAGAGCTAATATATCATCTAAATATTTAAAAGTGTTATTAAATTTTTGAATCAGATGTTGTTTCGATGGGTGTTTGCTGATTTAAGTCATAAATTGTAACTTATAACAATACAGAAACAGGTCCGCAATAAGTGGTGCACAGTAAGTCCCAATGGGAATTCCGAATTTAACATATTTATATCCGCTAACCGAGACCCTATTGAGACAACCTCAACAAAAAGCTTTGAATACAAATACGCATATTCTTAGAACTGACGGTCATCCTTTAAAAATTACGGCCTTCCTTTATAAACTACGGTCATCCTTTACAAATTACGGTCATCTTTTTACCAATCACGGTCATCATTGTTATATGTTACGGTCATCTTAAAAATATTTTAATAATGATTTACGGTCATCTTAGCGATTTTTTCAAATCAAATTTCCTGTTTCATACACATTTCTCGGTAGTAATTTGTGATTTCTTTGTGAATCTTTTATAAATTTACATCATACCAATGTATGATTTGTAAAGAAAACAATATAGAAACACTTTAAAAGACAATACAGATATTGAACTAATTTTTCATGCGCCATCTTGGGATGACCGTGAATCCAATTACGGTCATCAGCTTTACCCCAGTGAAAGAAGTCCTCGTCCCGTCGACATTACCATCACTGGAATTGGAACTGCTCTCGTATCAAAGCAATACTTTCTGATTAAAGCAAGGCATACCACATAACAACCCTCTTTATTCTAAGCTGCATGGTACTTCCCTAAATCAGTAGACCTTTTCCTTGCAGGAGACTACTTCAAACTTTCGAAAAATTTCGAATTGAAACATTGTATCCCCCTTTTTTTTACAAAGCATATGTCGATAACATTTATTTATAATTTACATATTATGAAATCTATTTAAAATAAATAACGATTGATAAAAAAATATCGTCATCACAATCTGTTGAAATGAAGAATAATAAATACAAGATTCTGGAAGATGAAAACTAATTTACAGTGTAATATACTATTTTTTTATGAATTATCTTTATTGAATTGGATTGTTCCTTCTGTTTATGTTGTGTTCAACAAACCATGTATTGATAACCGCATTGAGTGTGTGTTCGAAATATATTGCTGTGTGCTTAGGGATTGAATAAATCAATGTATTTGCTTATTCAGAATTGATTTATATTTCTTGTTAAGTAACATCTTCATTCATTATATAAAATATGGATAATTGTTTCGCATTGGACATGACATGTTGAATATTATAAAAAAAACACACAACAACAACTATGAAAATACTCCTATTTACATGTTCTAATAACAAAACAGATATTGACTTGAAATTCTTATAAACTGTATTTCACTCTATCATATACTAATTGAATGTGAATTAATTTCGTTAATGGCTTTAGTCTAACAATTCTTAAAGACAATTACTCGAAAGGTGGCGCGATAACATTTATTTATTTTCAAGATGGCGTCACTTTGTTTAAATATCGGTCGTGACAAGTCTCGAGTCTCAGCATGAAATAAATATAATACTATCGTAAGGTTACAGTGTGCATAAAACAGAGGATAAATTCATAGAAAATCTATTTCGCATTGTTATTCATCTCGTTGTATTTTTAAGCAACAACTGTTTAAACCTCGGTTGATAACACAATTCATTATTTCAAAACAGCGTGCTTGACAATTGAAAGTTAATGATAGAAACATCCGATGATAAATATGTACACATAATAATATAAGAGATTTATAGGTGTCCTAACGAATGAGAATAGCATATCGCTTAATATCAACTCTATTATTCAGTTTCAATATAAAACTAATCGAGCCATTGTCGCGTTTGTTATTACTATTTGGTACACTTCGGAATCTGATGAAATTTTGACAAAAATAAGATTTTCATGTTAAAGGTGTGAATGTGTTGTATATTATGGAAGAAATCACACATCCCCGTTATCACGAGAGGAAATATTCATCGTTTTGACCTTTGAAAGTCATCAATAACCTACTGAACAGCCAATGGAAATGTCGCAATACCGTTTCTTGATGCTGGAGATAGCAATTAAATTGACGCATGTTTGGTATCACACTCTGTGCAGTGTGATACAAAACATATATCTTCCTGTGAGTATAGATAACAGCCATAAGAGAATTATAGTTACTGTGGGATTGACGAATGTGAGGATGATAATCCCTTTCTTCATGATTAAGTTCGAGCGAAAGGTACTATCATTCTCCTACAAACTTGAATATTGTAAAGTGCTTCAGTCTCATATAATCTTTTAAATGGTTTTAATTAAATTTCGTTTTTTGTCAGTGCAACGTTTATAATTAATGCAAGACCTCCTTTCTATGCATTCATTTATGGATAGGTCTTTGTTAAGTAGGAACTTTCTTATAATATTGGAAAATTTAATAAATTGTTGTTTTAGACATTTGATATGACACAACAAAAACGACAAAATTATAGGAATTGTACAAGTTTCCTAATTGTGTGTATGAATGTAAATCATGTAATCTTTACGTGAAAAAGTTTATTTATTCAAAGTTCAAATCAATCAATTCTTAGTTTAAGTTTTCAACATAATTTTATACCACAGCAAATATTGATCCCAACTCGTTACATCAAACACCATACCATTACGTAGGTAATTATCAAACTTTAAATTTTCCAATGAAATGCCTTTTATATAAAATTATAAAGTTCTGTTTTAAATTGTGTCGGAATATTTGAAAATATTTTTTTTACCAACCGCAGATCCAGTAGTCTAAGATTTTGTAAGCATAGCATCTTACGATTTTGGTTTATATATTTAATTCAGATTTGTTTTCTTTCTTTCCTTTTGTATTGCTTTGGTTATGTTTCTTTTTATTTGGTAATTTTGAATTTATTAATATTCAAATATATTTTTACGGTTTCAATTTAATTTTCACAATATCAGTAAACTTGAACTTATTTTGATTTGTATTAGCTTTTATTCAATTTCAACCATAAAATTTAATTCTATGAGGCTGATAAATGTACTTTAAGCACTTGCAACTCGTTTATAGAAATTCTTTGTTTTCAACTGTTAGTATGCCTTAACAATAGGAGAATCTCTTACTAAGAACATGATTTACATTCATTCTTCACAATTCAGGCACATCAAATCATAGAAGTTCATTGTTCGAGAGCACTTTGCTATATTTCGACTCGTATAAGGTTGACGACATTGTGTATAACACAGGCAAATTTTAACACCCTCGGGTCAGCTAGTGTTATAAAATTAAATGTCTTAACATGTATAAATAACGATATCTTTTCAATTTGACCATAATTAATTTGGATGGATGTAAATGCTGCAAGAACAAAACATTTGAATAAAGAAAGAATTAAGATAAATGAACTAAGTAAATAAAAGCCTCAAAACAAACAATCCAAGTTATAATGTTTGGAGAAATACACATTTATTTTATAATCATAAATAAATAATGCCAATTAACTATCCGTAACAAGTAACACTAAACGTTATGATGCTTGAGTGTAACCATGAAATAAGTTAATTAATCTAATTCGATTAATCAAATAGTGACACAATACCTGATGATGACGTCAAAAGGTAGCTTCACATTAGGAGTCTAACTCTCATGGAACAAACTTTTCCCCATAGGATAAACATTAATTAACCAAAAGCGTTTGAATGCTCATTTTCTCTACAAATGTTAAAGATGGATGGTGGTTGTTTTAATAAGATACTTAGATCAATTTGTTTCCCGCGTGATATATGACTTGGACTCGAAGCATGTAGCTTTATCTGAACTGTATCTGTTTGTGTGAACACTGATTGGTGTTTAATGGTATCTGCATGTTGTACTGTAATTCATATGCAGAGACGGGTTAAGAATGGTAAAAACAACTATATGAACTGGAAATGACACAACTCCTCTATAAACCACGATTAAACAATTCTATAATCTACCAAGTGGTGTAATTATGCATGAACCGAAGTAGTAAATTGCATAAAAAATCGATTGCCAATAGATTGATAGGATTTAAATAATATAATGTAATTTTGATAACCACTCTGCTCATTTTTCTATCACTGAAAAACGACAATTTTATTTATAGTTTAAGAAACGGTGTGTATAAAATGTATTCGGCAATAATCAGAATCATACAGCATATACAAATAATCAAAAGTAATTGATTAAAAAAAAATAAGAAAATATTGAAGTGAATATGCAAATAAATAGAAAGATCTTGAACATTGAGTATATTTAACGTATAAGAAATATATTCACCTAAATAAAAATTATTTTTAAAAATACTGTTTACATATAATGCTTCTAATAGAAAAAAACAAAGGATATTGGGTATCCATCTATGACACAAAATCAGTACATGCACAGCAAAAATCACACAAAAAAGCATAGGAACAGCGTTTTTATAGCTATTCTTCAACTCAATGTCCCAATGAGGCATTCAACACGAAGCAACAACATCTAAAACTTTGTATAATATATTTTAGTATAAAGATATCAAATGAAAGGTGAAGGACTGTTGATCCTTGTAGAACACGTACTGACTGATAATTTTAAATAATTAAAAAATTGTATGAATGAATTTTAAAATTGAGTGCATATATTTACCATTTCTCAAATATGAAGTACCTGATTTGGTGTATCCAAAATTCCGGTAACCAGTATAGTCTGGTGTATAAATAACGGTATATTGATCCCGCTCCCCATAAATTGTTTGGAAGTGAAAAATTTAACGTTGATATGAATGAGGGTCAAGAATAAGTGGTGTAAGCATTGCAATGACAAAAAGTATGTAGTACTGCTGTAAAAATACGAGATATTCTGTCATTTACTAATTCAATTAATTAATTTGTAAAACAAATATATCTCCAGGTATCAAGTAGATAATTACAGAGATCGTTATCTTAAATACTGTATCAGGGCTACTTAAAAATTACTCATTATTATCAGAATGTATACAATATATCTTAAAAAAATAACAATTACGTTCTAATAACTAGATATTTTCAATTTTCAACAATTAAACTTATATAAGATATAAAAATGGACTGTTAAGCTATAAAAGGAATGACATTACAAACTATAGGTTTAAATGATCATGTTACACTCACATGACAAATATACCTTATATTGATTTATTTACTTGTTTGATCATTATAAAAAAAGGAGATATGTTTTCACAAATTTGGCTTCGTATGACTTTGTTTTCATCGACATCCTGAATTTTGAAACATTTTACTTAGGAACTGAGAGGATAAAATATCTTCATATCAGACTTACTAATTCTTCCGTTTGGTCATGTTTGGGTTTTTTTATCGGAGGGAAATGCTGTTCCTTCCATACATTATTTCTGCTAAGTTTGGTTAACTTTAAATCAAACTTTTCAAATAAAAAGAAGAAAATTAGACCAGTCATGCAGTTTCAATTTGAATTAGTGATGTCATATTTGTATCTGATTAACTTCAAATGAGGATTTCACCTGTTTCGACTGGTAGTTGTAGTGTAGACGATATATTTGTATTGGCAAATCAGAATTAAAGATTGTCACAGGCAGACATGTTTTCCAATAGTTTGAAATCATGTGAGAATTTTAAAAAAGTCCCTACTATAAATTATAAATGCTAGTTTTGGTAAATATATCAAGTTGTTTCAGAGAAGAAGTTGCAAATTTCATTTCTCATATTTCTATGTTCAATCGAATGTTTTTGCTAAAGATACCGTTAGCATTGCACATTTAACATCAATAAATGATGAACTGCTGTAAGGTAACTTTCCCTGGATATTCAAACATGTAAAAAGAAGGGCCTTGTAGACTCAGAGGAGAAGAATTTAACAATTGAACTTGTCCTAGATCTATTGGCTTTCAATTTAACTATGAACAAGGTAAATTTACGATTTTTGAAAAAAAAAATTGCAACGAGATTCTGCATAATTTTTGGAATATATCTTGATTTGGATTTTTAACGTCATACCTGTACATGTGATCGAAGCTCGGCGTTTAGGGAATTTGCCAAATTTTATTCAGAAATCTTTACACCATTTGTTTCAACCTTTTTGGTTTAAGCGCTCGTGATGGAGGTTAATCCAGAAAAGCGTTCATAGGGTGTTATTTTTATTTAAAGGTGGTATGGAAGTATACACGAAAATGAAGAGAATATTGTTATACTTTGCCAAAATGTAGTATATATTGTGATATGTTCAAAAATGTTATAAAAATGATAAGTAACCATGTTAACCTAACTTTCTTCAAGCTACAGCTTGTGCAAAATAACACATTTTGTATGGATTACACAGACTAATAACAGTATAATGTGAATAGAAAGCAAACTAAATGATTAATTTTGAAATAAAATATGGAAGTATAGCTCTCAAAAAATACTTTCAGAAATGAAAAGATATCTGAGGTCATCTTACGTTTTATCTTTTAATGCTATAAAATAAAATAGAAACATTTTGAAAAAGATTGCTTTACAAACTATACCTTTTCTGAGTTACCTCCCTTAATACGCAAAATTTATAAAAAAACATTAAAATCAAGCAAAAATATTCTACTTTTGAGTAACTGTAAACTTAAGATTACATGAAATTGTTGATTCAAATTGAAATTCTTGTTGGTAAATTGCATTCCTGCATCAATTTTAGGACCTAATTAAAAAGCTAGAACTGTTGTGTTCCACTTTTTTACAATCTACGATGGCGGAAGACACACATACAACATTAAATATGATTGACTTTCTCTAAAGTAACAACATATGAACAATAATAGTATTTCTCTTAATAAGATTAAACTGTTAAAAATGTGTATCTGACTGTTTGTAATACCATGTGAACTTTCATTTTGGCGGATCGGAATTAAGTTTCCGTTGAACTGCTACTTATTACACTTATTATACTAGTTGGTCGTCCTTCATCTATTCATTAAAACATAACTCATAAATTACAAAATTTAATATGAAGAGTTAAAAAATAATTATATAAACAATATTTTGTATTTAGTAAAAGTGTAAATATATATTTTTGAAAGATACAGATTACTACTATTAGTCCCTGATTATCATTTTGTATTTGTCGTTTATTGTTTTTGCCATGGTGTTGTCAGTTTCTCCTCGACTGTTTTTAAATATCCTCTTGGTATCTTCAGTATATATGTACATGTATGTTTTTTATTGACCAATCAACGTTTTCAATTGATGCCCTTTATAAACAAGTGACATTTCTTTAAAATCCGAGATCGTTTAATGATTTTTTTGTTGTTTCGGTTTAGCTATCAATATCGGCTCTGTGAAGTGTAATATCGGTTTTCTTATTAATTTTCTTATTGCCCGTCCGGAGCATCTAAGTTTACCCTTACGTCTGTTTTGAATGGGCATGTGTTACTTTTTCACAAGATATATCTAGTAATCCGTTATTGTAAAATGCCTAACAACCGGATATGAATCATCAATGTATTTCAACATGTGAAACACGGTGGGTGCCACTAGTGGAGCAGGATTTGTTTACCATTCCGGACTCTTCAAATAATCCCACACTTTAATCCTTTATCCTGGTGTTGCCTGTTTCTATTGTACATGACTTTTGGGTGACTCATCGTCACTATATTTTAAGTATTTTAGATTGACCATTCACCTTGAGCTATACCTGTTGTTCTGTATTGTGTTGATGAACTTCTTATCGCCAGGACAATATCATCTCTAATTTCTGTATGATCTAATATAATACGAAATGAAAATATATTTTATATCTTATAAAGAAGATGATCCAAGTGCAAAACTATCTTTGATAGCCATAGGGTTGTATTGATCAGTTCTTGTTTCAACGCCATTTAACTTTTGAAATGTCGTGTTACTATTTATTTGCTGCAGCAGTAAAATCCATGAATGTATGCATCAGTGTCCATATGCAAATGCCCATGCTCGTGTTTTGGTCTTGACACTTGCTCTAGAATAGTTTGGTGTGATATACCAAGTCCTGACAGATTAGACGATTTGTCTTGTATTTAAAGATTTAAGACTTTGAAGACATGTTTCTAGTGAGTTAAGTTTCACAGATGATATCGTATATGTTCCTTATGTCGTAACTACAATACCATTCTCTTTTCACGAAGGTGACCTACCGAATTAGACTATTTACCGGATTTGTAAGAACATAAGCAACACGACAGGTGCCACATGTGGAACAGGGTCTGCTTACCCTTCCGATGCACCTGCGATTACCCCCAGTTTTTTGGTGGGGTTCGTGTTGCTTAGTCTTTAGTTTTTTATGTTGTGTCATCTGTACTATTATTTGTCTGTTTGTCTTTTTATTTTTTGCCATGCCGTTGTCAGTTTGTTTTCGATCTATGACTGTCCCTCTGGTATCTTTTGTCCCTCTTTTAAGACGCAGATGTATCATATTGGTCCACCAATCGTGATGGTGACCGCAAACCATAGTAGTGTCGATTTCAGTCGTTCTAACCAGTCGAAAACACTAGGAGTACATTTTTATTTGTTTTTTTTGTAACTGTTCTCAATAGGAAGAGTCATGACTGTTATAATGCCTCGTATATCCATATATTATATAGTATATCATCCAAATAATCATATGTCATGGAAAATATTCATGTCTGGGTGAAAAGAAATCGTTGAAAGCTAATAAAAATGTATTAATACGAGCAAAATTTCATAACACCGTTTTTCAAATATTGTCAGGACATTTTTCATCGTTTAATTAATGAGAAAATTTCTGAAAAAGTACTGTTTAAATACCTCTTAAATTACAAAATATTTCATGAATTTGAAATTTACAAATTTAAAAAAAAACTAATAATAATTTTATTTAGAAAACTTCAACAGCCTCTCTTCGAAATATTTTATATGTGAGTATGTGAACATGCTTTCGTCCTAATGATAACTGTAGTTCGTTCTATATCAAAACAATCATGTACTAGTATATTAATTTCGGGACGAATATCATTGAGACGAACAGACATCTCAAGTTAAACCAAATACATCAAATAGAATTCCTTCCCCAAAACAACAAAGTCCCCTTCATTTAAACAACTGATGAAAAAATCAATGTACCTTAACCTAAACAGGCCATCAGTCACTAGCTTAGTACTAGATTTTTGCAAATGCAGATTTTATGCTCGCATTTGCTAGTGTTCTGACTATTTTTCAGATTATATCTTTAAAAAAAATGTCATATGTATTTGAAGACCCAAGACGTATTGTTAAGGTTAATCATTACCTTTTGGCTATTATGGCGGTGTTGACATCACAAATCGTATTCTGAGTTCAGACAAAAAATATTAACTTTTATGGATATTGAGTTTCCTTTTTTTTTTTTTCGTCCCATAGAAGGTGCAAAAATAAACAAAGTTTGGGAAAATTTATGAGATGTCCCCCTATGTAATAATATAAGTAATTTGTTTAAATTGAAATGGACAATAGATACCTACACAACAACAGGTGATTTAAACTGTATAAATGAGTGCACCGTATCAAATGAAATTTAGATGTTTTGTTTGTTTTTTTTTTGTTTTTTTTTGGCACTCATGTGGAAGCGACAAAAAATTGAATCCCAAAATCAACATAATTTAAAAATTTTCTGAAACGTAAAATTGAGAATAGAAACGGGGAATGTGTCAAAGAGACAACAACCCGACCAAAGAGCAGAAAACAACCCAGGGCTCTAATTAGTCTTTAACACAGGGAGAAAATCCCGCAACCGGAGGCGGGCTTCGAGCTGGCCCCTAAAAAAAACATGTACAAGTCTAGCGAAAATGGACGTTACACTTAACTCCGAAACATATAATTGAACTAAAATTAAAATCATAAAAGTCTAACAAATGCCAAAGGCTCCTGACTTGTCTTCATCACATGAAAATTAAGCACAATCCCTCTCTTAGTTGTTTAGTATCATATCATCATAAAATATACGAGACGAAGATAACCCGTATCATGCCAACAACTGGTTTTAGAATAAATGTGTTTATTTCCGATGCATAGACCCTACGAATGAATTAACATTAATTCCAACAAATGCCATTTCCAATGACCTGACAACAGTATCGTAACTATAACCCTTCCGAATAAGTCTTGTTTAAAGGTTTGGCTAGCTTTTCGGGTGAATAACGATATGTTGTGCTTTGTATAGAATATTACCATAAAGGATTGGATGTGAAATACCTGAACGTACAAGATGTCTGCACATTGATTTGTATTTACGAATGATGTCCTTCTACCGATGATAAAATTTAGTAAATGTTTGTGATTTCGAAACCCCTTGTTTAATAATTTTTCATTAATACATAGATGTCTTTCGTTAACATCAAATACGTTGTTACATACACGAGCGACTCGAACAAGTTGAGAGATATAAACACCATATGTGGATCCTATACTGAGGAATGATTACAACTCTCGGTCATGGACGATGTTAAGGTCTCCTGTTAAAACATGGGAATTGTGGCCATAAATGTATTTGAAATTTCTGCAATGTCATGACGTAGGTGATATTAACATCTTTACACACTTCGCTTTAATTAAACACATATTTCCGGGTAGATTTGTTCAGAAAAATGCATAAGTATTAACCTACTAGCCTTAGGCTTATAACCTATTGCCGAGGAAAATTTTATATATATATATAACCTTAGCCGTACTTGGCACAACTTTTGGAACTTTTAGTCCTCAATGCTCTTCAATTTTGTACTTGTTTTGGCTTTCGAACTTTTTTGATCTGAGCGTCACTGGTTAGTTTTGTGTGGATGAAACGTGCGTCTTGCGTATAACATTTTAAACCTGGTACCTTTTGTTAGCTATTATTCGTATGTTTCTCTGTCCTATATGTTCTCCCATGTATTGTAGTCCTGTCATGTTATGTTGTCATTGTGATGTTATATTTAACATTGCCATAAAAGCGGAAGGTTTGGCTAGCCACATAACCAGGTTCAACCCACCATTTTTTTCTTAAAAGGTCCTGTACCGAGTCCGGAAAATTGCCAATGTTATATTATAGTTCGTTTCTGTGTGTGTTACATTTTAATGTTGTGTTTCTGTTGTGTCGTAGTTTTCCTCTTAAATTTGATGTGTTCCCTCAATTTTAGTTTATAACCCGGATTTGTTTTTTTCTCTTTTATTTGTGAAGTTCGAACAGCGGTATACTACTGTTGCCTTTTTTTTAATGTCTTAATCTCGCAATTTGATCAAAAATGAGAACAGTTTGAGGAATTTACTTTGATAAATTTGCAAGAATTAATCACAAAAACATTTTCATGTTCTTACCATATTGAAACCGTTAATTTAAAAAAACAAACTGCTGTAAAAGAAAATACAATCCCGGGGGATCAATAAGTGTATGTTCATATTGAAACATTTTTTTCGTTTAAGGGTAGATTGTATATCGCAATCTTGGATTGTAAAATATCAGTACACAATCATTATAGTGTATTGCTTAAATCTGCAAATATCTACCAGGTAGATTGGCAATTAATGTGTAAGACTATTCGTTCGAATGTGAAAAATGAGTGATATGTTGCATTATTTTGACTGTTTTAACAAAATACTTAAGAATTGTTCGATTAAATTTTTCAACTTAGCTATATATGATAGTGACATTTCAATTTTTTTCTTGTAGCAGGAAAACAAGTTCGGTGACACCATCATTTCTTTTTATTGTCTTTCAGCATATTGTTAAACCTATCTTCTCATATTTTATTTTAAAATTCTATCTCATAGATTTCTTTTATTCACAAACAAGTGTTTTTTTTCATGAATAATCTATGCAAATTAGACAATTTTGGAGGAATTGTAGCTTGACAAATAGCACGGTGATCCATACTTTTGATTATATTTTGTTTAAAAGCATGGCATAATCTCCCTTTTGGCAAAGTATGAGAAAATCTATTTGCAGAAAAATATAGTGATCATCCACCTTAAGTAAATATTTCTTGAAACAGCCTTTTATTGAAGCTTTTTCAGTAACCCAAATACCGTTATCTGTAATTTGAGATCATTTTAAGGTTAATAAATAGAAACATATCGACTTTTGTCAATATAAGGTATCAAATTATTTTCCCATTATTGAACAAGGATCAATAAAAATGCGAACATGACTTTGCTCCTAAATCAATTAAATTGGACATCAGTTACTTACGTTTGGAAACATTAGGTTGTCTATTAAATTAAACCAAAGAATAAGAAAGAAAGAACGCGTTGGTGTTAGTGATTAAAGAATGTTTTAGACTTTTACAAAATGTTTAACCTCGATCAGAAACCAAACTGATACTCTTTATACTTTCCGCTTTAAATCTCTAATCCTTCATATCAGACACTTACTGTAGTAATAGTTATTTGCTTCATGCGTGAATGAAAAGAACAAAGTATAGCATATAAAGCATTATAATTCTAATTTTACTTTTGCTTTGATTAAAATTAAAGGAGCTATCACTTAAATGTTTGGAACAGATAATACTTCAAACCGACTAGTTGTTACAAGCGATTTATTAACGATTCTTTTGTTAGCAGAAAAGTTAAGCGATTATATCAAATCTTTATCTTCTATTATATGAAAATAAAACAATCGTAGCGAATTCATACAAAGAGGAGTAAAGGAAAACAAAACATCCGCAATCATTTGATCGCTTAGAGGATATACAGCCAATTCAAAACATCATATATTCAACAATTATTTCCTATTTGCACAGTTGTCAAAATTATTCTACTTTAAGGTTAACTTCATTTTTACCATAGCCCTGAATAAACATGTTTCAACTTACAACTTGTCCATTTTTATTCAACGTTCTACTGTATAACTTTCATTACAATTATTGCGAATTTAGTAGAAAATCTTAAATCTGAAATTCAAGGTAACTCCAATATGTCAATAATCTGTAGCTAGAAAATGACGTACATTTATAAGTTTTCTTACTCCGGACATGCACAAAGGAAAGTTAATAGTTTTCACTTTCGTTTTAGTTGACTATATAAAATTGAGAATGGAAATGGGGAATGTGTCAAAGAGACAACAACCCGACCATAAAGCAGACAACAGCCGAAGGCCACCAATGGGTCTTCAATGCAGCGAGAAACTCTTGCACCCGGAGGCGTCCTTCAGCTGGCCCCTAAACAAATATGTATACTAGTTCAGTGATAATGGACGTTATACTAAACTCCAAATTATACACAGGAAACTAAAAGTAAAAATGATACAAGACCAACAAAGGCCAGAGGCTCCTGACTTGGGACAGGCGCAAAAATGCGGCGGGGTTAAACATGTTTTTTTAGATCTCAACCCTCCCCCTATACCTCTAGCCAATGTAGAAAATACATACGCACAACAGTACGCACAGTAGAACTCAGTATAAGAAAATTCTGAGTCCGATGTCAGATTGGGAAACAAAAGAAAATAAACAAAATGACAACAATACATAAATAACAACAGACTACTAGCAGTTACTGACATGTCAGCTCCAGACATCAATTAAACTGATTGAAAGATTATGTCTTCATCATAAAAATATCAGGCAATACCTCCTGTTAGGGGTTTAGCATTATACCGTCATCAAAAATATGAGAAGAACATAACCCGTATCATGCCAACAACTGGTTTTAAAATAAATCTTTATTTCTTTTCATGCTTATTATATACTTAAATCAAATTATAAAAAAAATGAAAAGACATTGTTTTCATGCTGGATAATGCAATGTTTGTTGAAATATCAAAGTTTGGAAAACTTAATTCACGCATTACTCCCTTTCGTTTTATCAAGTTTTCCCAATTTGTTGTGTTTCTTCAAACTGATATTGAATAAAAACATTTTTAAAACTCACAACTAAATGCAGATTGCGGTATTTAGGGCAACTATACTAGCTGTCGTCTTTGGCTATTAAATTTAACATAAGAGTGACTGAAGTCAATTGATGATATCAAAATTTTCTTAGCACTGAATACAGGCTATTTTTTTCTGAATAACAATTGTATCAAAAACCAATATTTTTTTTTCACTTTCAGGTCAGTTTTACCATTATTTCTAATCGAAGAGAGGCAACAAATTCCAATGAGCCATTCAAATTCAAATATCAAAGACAAACTGACAACGCCATGGCAAAAAACCGTCAGACAACAGTCTACAAATACACTACATAGAAAAATTATAACTGACCAACACGAACTCCTCCCCCTCCCAACAAAAGGGAACCTCAGTTACTGCGGAAGGGTAAATATATTCCCCTCCATATGTGGTATCCGTCGTGAAACTTCATCACTTGTTTTAATAGCTACCTTATACTTTTATAATCAACAATCTTCTGTAAGTGACATCATGTGTAGAAACTCTTGAATATCGTATCAACTTGGTGATATATACTCGATATTGAGGAGCTGCTCCAATGTTGCTACATAGAAATAGAATGTTCACAATTGGGAAGCTGTAATTATATCTTTTGTCGTAACGTTTTGTTCTCAACGGACCCTCATTGCTTTCAAGATGTTATTCAAGATATTTTGCAGGCTCAACTGTATCTTTTGTATCTTTTATTTTAAGTTCGATTGGATAGATGCGTTCAACGTAGTCAACAAACCTTGAATTATTCAATGAGAGGACGTTATCTATATACCGGAACCTAAAGTGAAAAACATATTGCTACCTTCCTTACGATCTTCCTAAGAATCACCTGATTAAAGTATGTCGCAAATAAATAAATCCATCATAGATACCAGGATAAAAAATGTGTACTCAAGACGCCCGTTTCGGACATTCATATTTTAGATTGCGTTTGAAAATAAATGTTACGCTTTGTTCTAAAAAAAAGACCTTGAATTCATATATAAGTTCTTGTACAATTACATAATATATAACCTACAAACTGACATATGTCAAACTTTACCAGTAACGAATATTCTAGACAGGATAAGTAGTCAACCAGAAGTGACTCAGTAGTAAACAATTATAATGATGTTGTTTTCTATGCGTATGACTCATGAAGTGCATTAAATTTCATGAAACATAGTATAAAAAAAGAAATGTGGTATGATTGCCAATGAGACAACTCTCCACCAGAGACCAAATTACATAGAAGTTAACAACTATAGGTACTACTGTACGGCCTTTAACAATGAGCAAAACCCATATTGCAGAGTCAGTTATAACAGGCCCCGAAGTGACAAATGTAAAACAATTAAACGAGATATCTAACGGGCTGAAAAAGAGTTTCGAAATTCAAATATATTAAGCGTTACAACATCATGAACATCAAACCTTAAACGTGAACAGCTGACATCGTAAACTTGACGAGTTCCAAAATGTGTGTTCAATTGATTTTCTTATAGATGAAAATGGTTTGGGTTTTTTTTTATTTCTGATAAACACGAAAATAATATTGGCATATACAGGAGGCGGCTACCATGTCGACGCACCAAGTATCGATCCTATCAGAGTCATGTGATTCCCTCTTTTTGTGTTTGTTACCTTTATTTGTCCCTACCTAATCGATTTATTAGATATGAACGTCGGTAAAATACTGTCGCCTTAATGAAAAGACACATACAGCGTTATTAATTCATAGTTTAAATGGTTATTTGTTTTTAAATGTTGGAATTTCAAAATCATTGTAATATTATAATTTTAGGAAATGCATAATTTAAACCGATGATGATATTAATGACTCAATTGTTATTGAAATCATGTTATCTCACCACGAAGAAATACCAAAAGCGAAAGGTAGGCTTGCCATTATTTTCGCTGGCGTCGGCGGCGTTTACAATTTGTGAGAGTTTAGGATTATGTCAGTTTAATAAAAACCACTTGTGGTAAAGCAATGGTATTTTGTATCAGCATCAACACGTCTTGTTTCAATGGCGACTATCTGAACACATCACCTCAGTCATTTTCTATTGAATTTGAAACTTTTGCTTGATTTAAATGTTAAAGTAAGTGATGAAGAAACCTTAAGGGAAACACTTATGGTAAGTCAATTTTCGTTGATATGCGCTTGTATTAGCACTGGCATAACTCATGTCCTTTAAGACTATTAGGTCTTGCCTTCTCAAAACGGTTCACTGACTGGAACTTTTTCATAGTTTACTTAAACAAGTTTGTGATTATGTCAGTTTAAACACTATTGCATCAATGATACTTCATATGGAAGTGTATTAGCATACATCCGTCAGATTTCCATGACCATTGTATTGCTGCACCCCATCAGTTAGGGTATATAGACTTTGGATTTTTTATATAGTATACATGTCAAAGATTTTGATTAGGTCAATTGTAGGAGAATAGGTTCTGTACTTTAGTCATGGTTCATTGATGTTGAATGCTTTGCATATCTTATTTATATGATGAAATATTTCAATTTTAATTTCAACATTTGTATTTTATTACCAAATTGCAGACAGTCGAAACATACTAGTATCTTAGTTTTACAGATGTTATGAATTAGTTGCTTGTTATGGAATATTTATTTCATAGTTAGGATGACCTTTCTGTATTACATTTACTTTTAACGATAAATATGAAACCTATTTTTTTATCATACCTTTCTCTTCCTTCAGTTTTATTCTTCTGATATGTGTCCTTATCCTTTCAGTCCTCCTTACCACCATTAAAATGCATCCAATAATACATACAGCCAAAACAATCAGCACCACTAAAACTATTGAAGTAACAATTATTCATTTCTACAAGTACTTACGTAGACAGCCTTCAAAAATACAATCGTAAACAATATGATCGTATTTTACAGTTGTTGAAATCCAAAAGATCGATGAAATATAAAACACATGAATAAGTAGTTATTTCAAATTAACTGTCATAAGCAGACATTTGCCAGAGCTATATTTATTCATTGCTTGCAAATTTTTCGACATCAATTTTTGTTTTCTCTCAATATTTAATTTTTCAGTTTTGCCCAGAGACATTATTTTTTTTATCTTAAAGGCTTTTTATAGTCTTCACGTGTTTGCAATGTCATCATTAGTTGCATATTTTAATGTTTTCCTAATATTCTTTTTGAAAATTGTTTTTAACCATTTCTAAACATCGTTAATGGTGAAATATACATTGTTATGATTTTCATGATTGAGTAGGAAGGGATCAGATCTTCGATAGTGAATGTTATTCCATACTTATTGAGACTTATATTTTTTTACTTGAATGGTATATATAAGTTTCGTGAATACGCAGGCTTTCTCACCTGGTTTACTTCAATCTGCAAGTGTAAATGTTTTGATAGTGGTTTTTTTCTCTCGTTTTATCCATATGACCAACATGTCTAATCCAGTTATTGACGTATATCGTGATTTGATTCTGTTGCTAAATCCGTCTATATTCAAATCATTATTTTTACTGTTACTTCTGGGTTAAAGCCAACATTTCATTTCGGGTATTACTTGTGTCTGTCCTATTTCTTGATCAGATAATAAAAAAACCTTTAATTCTTCATTTTAGCGACTGCAGCTTTACCTGATGCTTGACATGCAATGCTTCAAAACAAAGATCGGTTATTCATGAATAAAATCAATGATTATCGTGTTAAGTGTTGGTAATGTCTTATTTTTCATTTTGGAACCAAATGCTTAAAGGGTACTCTGCAAAACGATTGATTATTCATTTTTTTTTTTGTTCAGTGAATATTGATTTGTAGATATCATTTCTAAACTTATAATTAAAACATGGAAATCGGTTAAGAAGGGATTGACAAAAAACACAATAACGATGTAGGAATATTTGACGTTAGTCGTTTTCGTTTGTCAAGGTCACCCATTTTGTTCTTAAAGAAGCAATATTTTATTTCATATTCTTACTAACCAATCATCACTTTTTTTAACGTATTGGTATTATGTTTTGGTGTCAAACTGGCAGAATTCTTTCCAACATTCACAGGAATTATAATCTTCTCAAACAGTCTAAAATCTATAAACAATGTGATATAAAAGATCAGCATTAAAAAACCGATTTATTTTGTCAAACCATTTTTTATTTTTTTAATTTTCAAATTAGAATTTAACATATAAAAAAATATCATAACTACAAACACATTTCTGTAGGCAAAAGAAGGATTTGGCAGCGTCGGATTTATATCAAACTATTAAAACGGTAGAAGATACCAAGAGCGCAATAACATCAAAAAGCCGAACCCCTACATCATAGCAAAACAAAAACCGAGAAAAAAAACAAAAGTCCACGAAACACTACACTTAAACAAAATTACATTTGCACTGCAAGAACCTAACAAACATTTGAAGATGAACATATGTGCTCAGCAAAAATCAACTGGTGACATTTGTACTTGCTGAGTCTGCCAACAAATACTGAATACTCAAACATGTACTTGCCACTCCACTGGGTCCGTATACACTATATATTGCAATGTAACTTACAAAACCCAGAATGTTATATACCTGCTTCAGTGTCGATGTGGCATGCAGTATGTTGGCGAGACAGAACAGTCATTCAACAAACGCATGAATGGTCATCAAAGTGACTACACCTGTAAGCCCGACGTCCCCTTAAGTCGTCATTTGACGCCCAAGCTGATCTCAAAAACCTTACCATCACTATCATAGACCACAACGAGGGTTGGTCAGGGGCCAACAGGCTTGCTCGGGAAGATTTTTGGATAACAGTTAGTTAAGATCCATTTTGTTACATCTGGTGATCCGTATTTTTGGCAATAGCCAATGGAAGTCAACAGGGTTTAAGAACATCCGTTGTTCGACCTGCTAGTCAAATGCGTTTTGTTGAAATATACTTTTTCACTTTTTAGGTCTTTTTTGAAAATGTTGTTTGTGCTGTATTTAGACCCCTTTACCAAGAAATTTGTTTTGCATGCACACGTATAAAAGTTGCGGTTTTTATCCAACGCAATCATAGGTTTGAAGCTTGTTTTCAATTTAGACTTGTATATATATATATATGTCGAATGTGAATGTTAAAATGACCGCAGAATGATTTTCCTACGTCCCTGATGATAATTCTAATTTGTTCAGATGTTACTTAGTGTAGTCTTAATTAATTTTAAGCGAAATTGTTATGAAACAAAGGTTCCGACTATCAGAGGGCAAATACTACCATAGATGTATTTGGCTATTCTTTCACGTTCCCAGTTCCTCCTAATGTTTCTACTATTTATACATCCCTGTCTTTTAAGCTCTCTTGAAATCACCAAATTTATTAAGTGTTATTCTCTTGCACAGTATAAAGAAGTAACATATCATGATACAACATATTTATCATCCTGATATGTTCCTCCCGGCTTCAATACGTTCCAGACGTTATTTTCTATATATCATAAGGAGCTTGTCTTTTTCGCCGTTTATTTACTTATTGTGTAAAAAAAGGAAATGTTATTACAATACAACATGATATATATTGACTGGACTGTTTTCATACAATAAAGTTGATTGACTAAAGTTAATTGTAGAGGGAAAATATATATCTAGTGCGGGAACTTTCTAAAACATTATCTTAGTGAATATGACCTTTCTTACCTTCCCCATTCTGTTTGACTGCTGTTCTTACAGAATATGTAGTTTTAGTGCCGATTACAAAGATTCTTGCTTCGCAACCAAATGTAGAATTATTTGGTGCTGTACTCATATTCAATGTAAATATCATGCAATTTTCGGTGCAATAGCATATATTAGATAGACATCTGCCATTATTATGGACGCATTTGTCATCAACAAATCTTATATCGTCGTAAGTAACATCATTAACATGAAACTCGACTGAGCATCCCAACGTTTTGTGACTTGTGGTGCAGTTGAAATGTAATATGGTACCATTAGCTTCTTTCAGATTTGTCCCATATAAATTAATATCGGGCAATAAACCTAAAACATTGCATGAATTATATATATATATATATATATTTACATACAGTTCTAAGATTTTGATTTTAAATCAAAGATTTTAAAAAATAGGTTTCTGCTGTGAAGAGAATGGAGCAAGCGTGTTGACCGTAAAACTAGTAAAGGGTTAAGTTCTATATTATAACACTGTTGCAGCAGTTTTCTGTTGGGAGTCCGTAGTGTAAACAATCCACGTGCATATCGTGTCAATTGAAATATGCATTTAATGGAGCAGATAGTATGTTACTTTTAAGGTTCACAATGTAAATACTAAAACCGTTACGTTTGTTTCAGACCACAATATGATTTTTTAGATAGGCTTATTTCAGGAAATATTCCTATAATAAAGCAGTATCCCGAGTGTAATAATCAATAGGATAAATTAGCCGCAAGTACTGATTAAATGTTGGTTAGTAGGCGACTTAACATTATCAATATAACTGGCCCTGAATATCTTAGCAAGATGCTTTCTTTGTATTCATTTTGTTTATTCTTGAAAATAAAAACAGTCGGTTTCTTTTTTTTTTACCGATACTTCGACAAATATGTTGTCGAGTGTTAAGTCCAGCACTTAATTTTATCATCATCGTTGTATTGGTTGCTGTGTTACTGAATAAAATATAGAATAAAAACAGTCCGTTCTATCTATTCATATGGTTATACTGACAATTTGTTTCAGTAAAAGATACAGTCGATCTTTCAATGAAGCATACAAAAAGAAGTGCAGAATGTAGAAAAATCTCAAGTTTGTTCATATTTGTGCATAAATATAATGCTTGTCATTGAAGATTTTTGAAAATATTTTGAATTTCTATCAACCCACATCTGATTGATTGATACTGCTGGTTGCGTAAGCCTCATCACAACATGCTTGGATTCGTGATAGTTGTTAAGGGTAAAATATAGACGAGCCTGCAAAACAATGTTATGTTTTGTCATTTTCCTTTTTTTAAGCATTTTTATCCATTATAAAGAAGGAATATTTTCTTATTATTCTTCATAAAGAACACCTACTGAGAGAAGGACAGTCTGTGATTTTCTTTGAAAATAAATTGTTATATTTGCATATACAAACAATATCATTTGAGGACTTGTCTGCTAGAACAACAAGATATCTATTGGGATAAGGCATCCACAGCCTCAAGCTTCCCCAAAGAGTAAAAAATCGTCTCTTTGAATGTGCTTATGAATGCTTATTTATCTGAATCACCCTCAATCCAAAATCTACCAAGCGGAGTAATCGGGAAGTTTGGAGTTGACATGTTTGTCGTTACAGATCTCTTGCACCCTCTTGTGAAGATAAATATGAAATTGGTTTGTCTTACATATAGGAATAAGATATTATCGTAGTATTTCTTCTTTCAAGACACACATTCACACTTAGAATTTAAGAAACTTTATTCTGTAATAGACTCTTAAAAAAATGTTTAAGTTTAAATTGTTATCTTCATGCATCTCAATATTTTGTCTGTACCAATACTCGACAAAAACAAATATTTTTAATTCGATATTTCAAAAATAAAATTTACTTCAAATATAATAATCACTGAATTATTGAAACAAAAAGAGCCATAAGATGCGAAGTAAACATTCGAAGAATGTATTTTTTTAACTTAAGACATTTCAAATATCTAAAGATTTTAATTTAAATATATGCAGCTAGACAGTATATTTGCCAACAACGAGTTGAATTTGAACTTAATTGTAGGTAAATTTGATAAATAACGTTGTAACTATTAAGGAAACAGTAGAATTTAAAATCTCATCAATCGATTAAGAAGATACAAATCAAGGCAACAAACAAAAACACTGAGGGAATTGCATGAACTCTAAAGGGAGCGAGACTGGGTGCGTCAACGGGGCAAGCGTCTCCTGCTATGAAATTGACACAACTGGCTTGATATATAGAGAATATCATATGGCTTTTTCAATTTCACATCCGTATCAACCCGAGACACTAATATAATCTCAACAGCTCTGCTCGAGGGATTATATTGTTTGAGGGTTGATACTGTGTGTGATATTGAAAAAGCCATATAATATACACTTAAAATATATCTCAAGTATATGTTTGTTTCATGTGACGTGACGTCAAAGAGATTAAGGGTGTGATAAAGCCTTTGCAACCGTGACTGATATCGAAATCATCACCGATGGCTGATACAGCACGATTGCCATTGATCGTATTACACATACAATTTACAGGTATTTACTATTCAATAAATTATAAATATTTATATATTGTAATTACTCTTGTATTAAGGTCTACGTGTAGCTTTTGAGTTTTGACACAGTTTAACTATTGTATTCTTCTTGATAGCTTGTTATGTATTTACTCACCACTTTTGGCCGCACAAAATGTGACTGCTGTTGTCATTTGTAACAACAGTGTTCTACTCATTTTTAGCTGAAAATAAACATTTACTTTAGGTTATTGTTTTTTATCTAATGTGATATAGAAAAGAACGACATTGCTAACTCGTTTTTGTTTTTTTTTATTCATGATCAAAACTTAACATTTTAATCATTAGAAATAATGATTTAGCAAATAATCCCAATACTTATAATTGTGTCATATCCAGTCTACGGACAGAAACTTTCTTGTAATACTGCTGCTTATTATTATCATTATGATCCTGCTATTCAGAATAATAAATATTAGTAGTATGTTTAGTAGAATTATGATAAGATGATTATCATTATTATTAGTATTACTTTCCACTTTTTTTTACATCGTTCTCCTAGTGGTTTCGCGACATATTGCAGAGACTTTTGTAACATAACATCGGACAACAGATGTGCTTTCGAGATATTTTTCTGACAACAAAACTTCATTAGGAGTTACCTTCCAAACACGGAGACCATTTTTTTCTCTCTAGTGCAAAAACTGTAAGACCAAGATTAAATCCAAGAGGTGGAAAATCTTTGGTCTGATCTCAATATGATTAGATAGATGAGTCGGATTTTGAAGATCATGTAAGTTCCCATTGCCAAGACAAATGTCCCTCATAATCTTTAGCCCGCTCCGTTAAGTGGTAGAGGATTAAGACCGTGATAAATCTGAATGGGATAATAAGTTAACAAATTGTAACCATGGTCAAAGGTCACAGCTCAACAGATTAACATACATAAAAAAAGAAACACACATGACTTTACTGTGCAAATATTAACATATAACATGAGGAATGATTATGGAATACAATGGCTATATATTCTGGCTTACTAGTGTGTCTGTTAAACATTTACCGTATTTGCTAAATGAACCTGAAAGTATTGAGATTTTCAAACAGTTCAAAATCTTTTTAAACATGACACATATTTCTTTGTGTTTAGTATAATTATTTGAAATATGAGTTAAAATTGATAAAAATGATAAAAGATCTATGCAGCAGAGAAATAAACTTTTAAAATCTGCTTGACACCTTTTTCTAGTAATACAGCTTGTAGTATGTTCTGGCTGTAGATAAGATTTTGATGCAGACAATGAATTATTCGTTGAATACAACTTAATAATTATTTATTTTTTTTTATAATATGACTATAATATTTCTCTTTTCTCATTGGCTTAAAGCTCATGGAATATTCTTTGATGAAACAGTACAACGCCAGAAAAATCATGAGAGGCTAATATAAAATTTGAAACAGCTTACGCGTGTCTTGAAAATTATTTTCCGAGACAACGTCAATGACGTAGGTTAGGACGTCGTGCAAATACACGTTTTTTTTTCCTTTTTTTTTTTTTGACATTATTTTTTTTAGTAAAATGTAAGTAATTGAGAAAGAAGATTTGATATAAAAACAAGGAACAGTTAGATATCTTAAACAAATACTAGAAAAGTGGATATGGACAAAAACTTCATATAATAAAACAATTTTTTACCTTTAAAATCAGTTGTTGGCCTCGATGAAGATCATATCTCTAGGGTTGATATATCATTATATCAACCTCATCAAAAGTCAATAATTGTACAGTGTTTTAACTTATCTTATTTTGTGACACAAAATGTAACAGCTGCTGTGATTTGAAACAAATGTGCCGATCTCATTATACTTGAAAGTGAAAATTTACTGATGAGTTGTCTTACTCGAACAAAACGTTTGTACACCAAAATTGAATTTTAGCATAAAGGTCAACTGGTCTGATTCCTCTTAACGTTCACAGAACGTTTTACATTTTCTTACTGATAAATTCATTGGCTTATTGCGTAGCTTGTTATAATTATACTTATTTATATATATTTATATATACGTTACACATTTATGAAGTGTCTTTTTTGTTTTCCTTTGTTGACATAGTTGTTTGTACTATCGTGATTAAGATTATAACACAATGTTGACTGCGGTACCCCAATTTTTGACACATTTACCTATCATGTCTGTTTGGTTTGCTAACACATTGTTGTCAATATAAAAGAAATTACATGCAACCGTCCTACAAGTGAGAGGTTTGGCTAGCTATTAAACTAGGTTTATTCCACCATTTTCTAAATAAGAAATGCCTGAACCAGGTCAGGAATATAACAGTTGTTTTCCATTCGCTTGATGTGTTTGCGCTTTTCATTTTGCCATTTGGTAAGGAACTTTCCGTTCAGAATTTTCTTTGGAGTTCGGTATTTTTTGTTATTTTACTTTTTATGTAACATATATTCTTTGGCTTGAAAAGGTATAAGGATGTATTTCATTTATTTTGCCTATCAAGAATATATTTTAAAAAGGACTGTCTGAGGAAATTCATATTGTTTTTTCGTTATTATTTTACTCCGTTGCCTGTTATTGTTTTCATTATTGTTTCGTTATCTCTTGTATTTTTTAGATTAAAAGAAAAAATGTTCTTGTATCACGTTTCAAAAATATCGATGTTCTGAACTTTTTTTGAAGACAGTATTTATTTTTACTGTATATGTTCATCACGGTCGATTTGTGACCAAAACATGTAAAACTACAT